GGGAATTTTCATAATGTATTTGTATTTTGTTTATTTTTTATTTTTTATTTAATTTAATAAAGTAAAATTAGATTTATATAAATATAATTATAGTAAACTGTAATACAAATAATAAATTCAGTGACCAAATCGTATAAATTTCGTGATAAAATCAGTGATCAAATCATGTAAATTCCATATGAATTCCGTGCAAATTCCGTATCCAAACCATATTTTTAGTGATAAGGAATTGTGCATTTTTCCGTATCCTATTATGATACGTTATTTCTAAGGAAAAAAATCGTATAAAAACTTTATAAAAAACGTATCCAATTTTTTTATAGGGAAGGATTTATAGTATTTTTATTATTTGATATTCATTTAATTTCTGAGGCATTATAATCTGTTCAACACTACAAACTTCTTCATCTCGTGATTTTTATTATCCTTATTATTACTATTGATCTCTTAATTTTTTTTAAAAAAATAAATTAATTAAAATTTTATTCGTTTAAATTTTTTTCAAAATTACAAAAAAAAATGAAAAATAAAATTCATCTGGGTTGCACAAAAACAAAATTAATTTGGATTAAAGTAGTAATTTCTTTGTATAAATAGAGTGTGATTTAATGATAAATAGGGATTAGCATATAGGATTTACGCTGCGCCAACATATGTATAATATCCCCTCCCTGCAGGTTGTAATTTATGGATATTTTGACGAGCATATATTAATGTGAAAAAAAATGTATCCACTAGTTCGTTGATTGTAGTCACCAGCAATTACTTATTCCCCTCCCGTAAAACAAGCTGTAAAAATGTGTATATAGCTAGCGTAAATATTTCAAATTACAAGTCCAAGCTAAAATCATTTTTTCATAAAAAGCTGAAAAAAATTTTTTTTTTTTTATTGTGCATTTTCTTTGTTCAAATTATCTAACACAAAAACGTGGCGCATGTTCAAATATGATTTAACTATGTGACAGAAATATGTGACAAATATATACCAAAATAAATGAAAATCGGACGCGATTATACTGTAAGAAAAAAAAAATATTAGAACTATTTTATTATTTTATTTAGTTCTCTATACTAAATATTTTTATGAAAGATGACTACCAGAAAAAATCCCCGCTAAATATTTTTTTTTTTTAAAAAAAAAAAATTATACCAAACATAAAAAAAAACAAAGTCACGTCAAATATTTTTTTTTTTTAAAAAAAAATTATACCAAACATAATAAAAAAAAAACTATGCTCAAAAAAATTTTTCGTTATTAAAATCTTGTCAATTAATTTTGTTCCGAATTCCTTCCTTCCTTATTAAAGTAAACCGCAGCAAAATCCATGTTTCTCGCAATGATATGAGAAGCCCTTATAATGTGGTTTAGCTCATGACGCTTTCCGAATTCTTCCACTAATTTTATTTGCAGAAGTGACCAATTTGTGCTTAGTTCACATTTCATGTTGCATTTTACCCAATTGCGGATATAATCCCATTCGTTGTTATCAAACTTCGCGGCAAGCAATTGATTTTGTTTATTACGTCTTAGTTTACTAGATTGACGATTTATATTAATAAGCGAAATAAGAGGAGGATTTTTTTCTTAAAAAAAAAACTTTTAAATTTTGAATAGAATAACTTACATTAGTCTCTCATCTAAATTAAGCATGATTTGGTCAAGTGAAATAATGAAGAAAAATTTTCCTTGTTTAGGTGAAACGGACGGTGAAGAAAAAAAATTTTTTTTAAAAAAAAAATGCGACAAGGAAATACTTTTAAAGCATATATACGTAACGTCATATCGTAATCACCATATTAAAAACAAAAGCTCGATATATTATTCTTCCTAATATAAATTATTATATGTATATATGAAGATTAAAAATTATACAATTTAAAAGTTTTTATCTTGTGTAATGTAATTAATAATATTTTTGGGGTACACCGAATTAATGAGCATGTAAAAAAGAACCTTTATTTTTTTCACAAGTTATAGTAAAAAAAAATAGCAAATTTTTTTTTCGTGGAATATGACATATATCCATAAAATACTATCATATGGTCATTTTATGCATCTTTGTTGATATCATCACCGAGAAAAAAGTACAAACACATTCTATGAGACGAAATTTGGACTAGCGATCATCATCTTTTCTTACATACGAAGGCAAAAGTTTTTTAGCCGTTTGATAAAAAGATAAACCATTGGGAAAACATCCGTGAGAATAGTCGTGATCTGCACAAAGAAAGATCTTCGTTAAACATCGAATTTTGGGGGTTGTGGAAAAAAATTTTTTTCTTACAATTTAGTTGGTTCAACAAGAATAAATATTTTGCTTATTAATTATCTTTCGGGGAGTTAAAAATGCCTGATTTTTTAAAGAATTATTAAAAAATGGTATTTTCATTTAATGCAAGCTGCGTGTTTTGCATATGGTTAAAATCTTGGACTTGACATCTCCGATGAATTTTTATTCTATTTTAATAATTTATTAGGTTATTTATTTTATGTAGAAATTATTAAATTATTTGTAGATCGTTAAAAATATTGCTATCATGATAAATGCCAAAGTTAAAAGTTGAAAAAAATTAATGAAATAAAATAAATCATTAAAAATTTTTTGAACATTTTGTCATTGTTGAAAATTTTGATTGGTTCCATTTCAAATAGTATAAATCGTGAAAGTATTACTAATCTTTTGACCTTAAAATTTTTAAGATATATTGTTCTTATTTTATTTGTTTATTTATTTATACAAAATATTTGTTATAAAAAATATTAAGTACAATAAAAAGGAAAATTTTTTTGTACTAGTTCAATAAATAACAAATAATATACAATCGGTTATGTGATAAGAAATCGGAGTAACTGGTAACCACTAGAGCTGCGGCCCGTCATCAAGTGATTTTTTCTGCGCCATGATCTACATTAATGAGTACCTACGAAAATAATTCATTTATACAATCCTGTGATCATCATTAGCTGAACCATGGAAGACGAGGATCTATCGTTAAATTTCCTTATATACTTAATTATTAACGTGACCGTCGGCGCATACTATCTTATTTTGGCAAAAATTAATAAATCTTCATAAAAAATATAAAAAATGGAAAATAAAATTCATTTTCAGTAAATTTTAATTTTAATGGTCAATATAAACAAACAAAACTGCTGCACCTTTTTAATCACGATATAAAACACATTATTATTGCATAAACAATAGTAAATAATATAATGCCCCCTTTTTTGATTAAAAAATTGAGTAAAAATGGTATTGAAAGGATTTCTAATCTACAGTATCTAACAAATATTCGTTGTTAGTAGCAAATATTTGCATAAAAATAGAGCGACGAATTAAAAACATCTCTGATTGTAAGTAGATCTTGGCGTATCAATGTACTTCCAAATTTGAGATAGTAAGTTGATTGTCATTTGATGAACGGAATATTGTTATTTCATTTCCGAAACAACCGTAAATCCTTATCTTTTTGATAAATAAAAGAATTTATTTTTAACTCATGTGAGGCGATTTACGTCTTTTTAGTACATAAAAAAAATCATTGATAATGCCAGATGGAGTTATTTTCCGAAGAAAAACTGCTATTGTAAAAAAAAGTCCAAAATCCGAAGATGTGTATCACAGGGAAGGGATGCATGATCAAAGAATTACATGTCCATATGATTTATGCATTCCCTGCATAGTTACGATGAAGTGCCAAACGAAAAATAAATAAATATTTTTTTTTTAAAAAAAAATAGATTTCGATATAAAAAATACTTATCGATATTATGATTTAGAAACGAAGGTGTTTTACATATATTTCCATCGGAATTATCGAACTAGTAATCGTAATATTTTTTTTACTGGATTTCAATTCTCCTTACCAAGCATGAATTGGTTAAATTATAGAATTTTTTTTTTTAAAATTTTTGTTTAGACCGAATGTTATATTTCAGTATATACATTATGTCAGGATCAGCAGCATACAATATTACACAAAAATTGTTATGGAAAAAATTAATATATTAAAATAACCTTATATAGAATTAAATAATAAATTTTGTAAATGATGGTACATCTAAGATTTAAGACAAAAGAAGAATAATTATTAATTAAAATTTAAACCTTAAACGAATAAAATCAAGATAACCAGATCCCTTATCTAAATACTTTATATCAATATCATTAAAAAGTTCATTATATGTAAATATTTTACACTTTTTTAATATTACACAAATAACTGTAAATAAACTTTTTCACAGAGCGCAAGGGGTAGTCATATTATAGATTTTAATATAAATATAGCGAGAATGGAGCATTCCTTTCAACTTCAAAAAAAAAAAAAATAACAATAATAAATAAATTAAACATTAAATTCATACTCCTTTACTCCTCTACTCCTCTTCTTTTTGCTCGCTGACGGATAACATAAATCATGGAATACCAAAATGAAAGTGAGAAGAAACAATATAATAAGATTGATCCCGACGTATGTTAAATAACTTTATATATAAAAAATCTATTATATTTTATTATTTTTTATTTTTTTATTCATTTTTGTTTTTATATTAGAGCGAAAAAATTATTGTTGATTACATGCAGAAATGGATTAACAAAGGAAAAATTGAACGTAATCCTTTTGCTCAAATAAGCAAATTGATTCCATATAGCGCAAAAAAAATATGTCACCAGTAAGTTTATTTATTTATTTATTTATTTATTTTTTTTGAAAAAAAAAAAATATTTTAATTTATAACTAACAATACTAATAATATATCATAAATTTTAGCTGGATGAATAAAATGGACCCAAAATGTAAGAATCACATTATATTTAATGTTTTTTTCTTTTATTAGAAAAACTTTATAATAACTTTTATTTTCTTGTTCTATAGTGCGTTTAGTTAAAGACGTACCCTTCACTCTCCAAGAGAAGGAGTATATCGTTGAATGGGTTGAGGACTATCTTAACTCTAATAACAAAATTATTTCTTGGAAACTTTTACAGTCAAAAATGAAAGAAAAATTTGGAATATTACGCTCTCGAAATGATTTAAAAAATATTTGGTACGTCAAGAAAAGGCAAACGACAAAACGTACGAAAAATGGTAATCGTGTTAATATTGAGAGTGTCCCTTCTGTTCCTTTTGTCCCTTTAATTGAAAATCATTTCTTCATGCGTAATTATGTTTCTTATTCTTTACAACCACCATCATATCCTGAATCAGTAGCAAATGTTATGATCATGGAAAATTTTAATTATTTTGGATGTATTAGTCGTCCTGTAATTCCTTTAAGCTTATAGTTTAGCGAATTTAAAGTATTTTATTTTTATATCATTTTTTTTCTTGAAATATATATAAATAAAGGATTATTTTATTTTATCTCATAGTTCCTAATAATAATTCATGATATATTAAATAAAATTTATCAATATTTATTTTTTTATTTTTTATTTTTAAGTTGTGGAGCAAAAACAGTGTCATTTTATTCATTCTTATATTAACAAATAATCAAAAACATGGCACGTGACTTTCAAATTTGTCGACAGTTTATTACAAGAAATATGGATTAAACACAACAAAGCTCTCCACGACTGAGAAAAATCAATTATCATCACGAAACGCAAAAAACGCCAATACAAACACAAACGACGCACACAAAAAAATTCTTTAGATTCTCAACTTCCTCAAGATTACGCCGACCGTTCGACACGTGACGTCTCGCGGATCGGAATCGCACATAGTTCTCCGAACTCTCAATCTCCGATACTGGTGGATGATTCTTATAACGTCAAATTATTTACACTCGAGTGGTTGGACTTCTTTCTTGAACAATTTTAATTATAGTATAGATTTTTATAATGATAATGAACAATTTTTAGATTTTTTTTCCTTTTTTTCTCATTCTTCTCGCTCCTCTTACAGGACAAGCTATACCTAGTTCTTACTTTTGACAAATAACAGGCAGGACGATTCTTTCGAGGGTTGGGTAATTATTTAGATAGGTGTAGTTTCGAACCTCTTGTAGAGAGCTCCGCTCCCATACTTGTAATACCTTTGTTTCTGTCTATATGTTTAAAATAAAATAAAAAAATTTAATTTATTACATATAACAAGTAAGCATTTAACAAGCTTCTGTTTAATAATTAATCAAAAAAAATATATTGTCAATTCATTATCCAATACGTGTATCATGAATGTCACAGCACGGTTTAAGTTTAAAAAAGCAATTGCTTGATCTTTCAAATCTGCTTTTTTTTAAAAAGATTTTTCGTTTTAATAAAAAAAAAAAAAATGAATTTTTATTTATTTAATAAAATAATTAAAAAAAAACGAGTTTTGATCATTCGTCAATATCTATACTTGTAGTCAGTTGTAGATCATATGTACTATACGTTCATGCATTTTTAAATAAAAAATTTTAGGGTGCACAAAAAAACAATGTAATTTATATTAAAAAAAAAATTTTACTACAATGAATATGATCTGAAATGATGTAACCAAAAAATATCAATTTGAATAACCTGTTAAAATAACTTAACCTTTCGTTCCTATATAAGGCCGGGCAAAAAAAATTTTTAGATTCTCATGACATAAAATTTTAAAAATGACCCGGCCGGCCGGCATTTTTTTTTTATATATGTAAAATTTATTTATTTTATGTGAAGTTGGCAAGGCCATCAAAAGAACATAATCAATCCAAAGAAAGATCGTCCAACATCAGTATAAAAGTTATAATACTATACCCACGTATGACGCACCTTAATTGGAATGCTTTTTTTTATAACTTTCAAAACTTTTTAATAGTGAGAAGCATCAGATTGTCCTATGGTTAGTAAATCATAAATTAAATGTTTTTATTTTAATATCTAACATTATAAAACCATTTATAATTTACAGTAATAAAATAATAAAATTACATTTTGAAAAAAAAGATAATAACTATTGAAAGGAATTGTTAAATTTTTATTTAAAAACAATATAGTAAAATATTTTACAAGTTTCTTAATTTGTAATTTAAGTAATTCCATTTTTTTAGCTTTTCACTTTTTTATTATACTTAGAATTATTTAAACACTAAGACTAGAGTAGTAAATATTTTACAAGTTTCTTAGTTTGTAATTTAAATAAATCTTTTTTTTATAACTTTTCCAATTATGAGATATAAATTATCAAAATAATAATACCCTGTCACCATGGCGACCCACCTCATATCATGTGATTTTTAATTTTCCGATACTTTATTTTTTCAATATTTATTTTTTTAATTAGTATTCTTAATACTTTTTTTTACGTGTAAAAAAATTGAGAAATTTTTAATAATAAACAAACAAATTAATGAATAAATAAATAAATGAGCAAACAATAAACGAATGAATAAAGGAATGAATAAAAGCATGAATAAAACAAACAAAACTATTAAAATATAAGAAATGATCATGTCTATATAATTTGTATACATTTTATTGAAAATTAACGTGTATATGTTATAATTGATGTTCATATATTGTATGAAATAACATACGGGACTCATTTCACTAAGTAATGATTAGGTGATAAAATTGAGGGATATTATTGGGAAATGTCTTACTAATATCACGTGATTCAATCGTTTTAGCTAAGAATATCATTGAAATAAAAAAATTTGTCTAGTTTTCCTAAACAATACAAGCATTTTCATTCATTATCAAAGGAAAAAAAATCAAAATTAATTTGATGTTTGTACTTCGGGAGAAAAATTTCTTGGCATAAATTTTCAGTATAATTTTTTTATGAATCAATTTTCTTGACATACGGAAGTGTTTTTTTTTGTAAATTTGATTTCAGCACATTCTTCCCAAATTTTTTAACTTTATTATTAAATTTTATACAAAAATGCATTCACAAAGGAAACGCGGAATAAACAGTTATCATTCAACTAGAAATCTAGAATGTTTCACTTTAATTTGCTTAACAAAATTTAATGTCCATTCATGATATTATAATTCGAGATATTGGAATTCAAGATATTGGCAGGAAATCGAATTCCAGCAAATTGGGATTTGGAAAATAAGAATTCGGGAAATTGGATGTTCCAGGAAAATGTCCAGTCCGTACAATTGTAATAACAAGACGAATGAAATACAATTAATAAGTAAGTATATTATTTATTTGTAACTAAAAAAAAAAAATTAATATTAACCGAGTAAGGTTGTTCTGGAAAGTTCTAACTTCGGAAATGTAGTAGATAAAGGTAGACACATGATCAAAACATTTTATTAAAACAAAAGTTTGAGTACGAATACATATAAACTTACAAAAAAAAAATTATTTTAAAATAACAGCCACGAGAAAGGAACGCAATTAACTCACCAACAATCATATCATCGATATCCATATCACCGATAAGCATTTTGCCGACAGGGTCATCTCGCCAACGGGCAATCTCACTGACATATAATTTATAAATATTATGAAATTAAAAAATATATATATATATATACTGTAGTACCTTTCATATAAAAATACAAAAATTGTTCTTTTTTTTTAACATGGTTCTTAATTTAGTGATTATCGTTAAACGTTAACATAAGATTAGTTTTTGAATGATTTCCTTTTATGATGTTTAGCTAATTATATAATACACTTATACCAAATTTGATTTAAGCTTTTCTATTTAATACGATCGGCAGCCAACAAATCTTTTAGTGTAAATAATTACAGAATATATAGATTTTCAAATCTAATTTAAAAACAATTGCATCAGCAATTATTTTCATCATTATAATAATATTATATATTTTTTAGATCATTCAATATTCAATCCTACTCTATTAATATCAGGAATTTGGCCTATTTGAAACAAATAAAATGTAAATAAATTAAAATCCAAATTAATAATCGCTTTTAAAGTAAAAAAAAAATTCTTAAAGAAATGATCACTCCCAACTCTATCCGTTATTCCAGTACGTATAAATAACTTTTTTTTGATTTTCACGCAATTTTACAAAAATATATTAACTCCACGTTGATGATATACTACAATAATTTCCAAAAGAATTGCACAGCACTAAATAATTATAATTGATTGTGAATTTTTTTATTATTAAATCAACGTAAATTCGTAATAAAAAATATATATATTCATTATATACATACCTAGCATCAATATCTTCCATTGTTTCTATATCAAATATTACATTCTCAATTGGTGGCGCCCGAGCTTCTTCAGAAGGATGAACACTCATATCACCGAATTCTTCTTGACGCCTTAACCGATCCCAGTGTTGGCGAAGTACAAGGGTTCAGAAATTCTAACAACGAGCACCCCTTCAACATGTTCAGCTTAGTCAGGACCTACCACATAATTGCAAATACAATTGGTTTTTAATAAAAAGGTAAGTAAAAAGAAAGAAACCCATTATTTAACTATAAGCACTTACTAATAATATAATACGTGGATAAGTGGAATGTTAAACCGCAAGCATTAACGATAGGGCAATTGAAATCAATGTGCCATATTCAATAGAAATAAAAATAGTGGAGAAAAAGGTCGAAAAGAGTAAAGCAAAATCTTTCCATGCTTTAATCTTGTGCATGAAATATAAATCATGTGGAAATTCTTCTAACAGGGATATAGCGGCAACAGTGACAATTGCTGCTAATACTGGTTTCGGCAGATAATAAAATGCACCAAGAAGGAAAAGTAAGTATAAGAGTACAAGTGAAGCATTAATAGCCCTGATAATTGAGTCTTGGAACCAGCTCTATCATTAACACCATGTCTCGCCATACCACCATAAGCAGCGAAGCATTGGAAAAACTTCCAATTAAATATGCTGTACCCAACTCACGATTGGAAGTTTGGTACTAGCAGCATAATTATGTTTTGTCGCATAGGTTTTTGTGACTACAATAGTTTCTACAAAACCGATAACAGATATCAAAACAGCTGCTTCAAAACAATCCCTAAGATGAAAATAATTTACCGGAAAAGGGATTTGGAAACTGGATCCAAGAATATCGACGCCACCTACATCTCAATTAAAAATATCACACAAGATTGTGAATATATTAACGCGAATTGCACTTGTGGCCATCGTTTGGACAATTTTTTTTTTGATGAAGCCAGTTATTAAAAGAAAAGAATGAAACTATGGTAGTTAATATATGAGCATGATCAAGATGTGTAATAATATAGACAAAGTTTTAAATGATGACGATGCGTGACCAATTCCATCCTTTGCAGCTGTCTCAGATAACTTGAACATAACCAAAAGTTGTTCGATCATAATTACAATTGCCACAGCAGAAATAAATCCACGCAAAAGAGCACGAGATAATACAGAATCTAAGAATCCTAATCGAATTATACCAAGAATAAACGTCAAATACCCACAAAAAATGTTCTAAGTAATTTAATTGTCGCTTATTATATATGACATGTTCTATGATTTTGCATTATACCACATACATTACACATATTTTTTTCTTGTTTTTTGTTGTTTTCGTCCCACCTTACGTGATCGACATCAATTTCAACTATTTTGAAAATGGCAATAATATCATGTACCAATCTTATTAAACCTGCGATTAAAATAGCAGTTTCTGGGTCACCCTATATCGTTGTTGTTGTACTATAGAAGACCTATAAGCATAGATACAAGTGCTTCTGAAACCGGGACATAATATCTAAGCCGAGTTTTGAAATTTATCCGTGAGTCATTATGTCTATTATTGGTTTGAGGAGCTAAATTTAAGAATTATGAGAAAGTAATTTACTTGCAAATCGAATAAGAAGAGCTATTTTATGTTGAACGCAATACCTGATCCATCGGGTGCTATAAGTGAAGTTACTTCACGTAAGTTGCTGTTCTTTGTCAGTATCGTATTGACTACCTTATAATTTTATTCGTAAAACAAATAATTTAGACTCTTTTCGTACTTAGTGTAAGATCGCCCTGTAAAAAAAATCGATCCGTTTTTTATATTCCGTCTTTTTCGTAAAAGGCTCATATTAATAACCTTAAATCCCGGAATTATTTACGTTTTTCGTGAATGGATCCGTGAAAGGCTCATTTTTTACGGAGTTTTACAAATATAACGGGTAAAATATTTTATTTGGTAGAAGCGAATTCATACCAAACTCACTTAGTGTCGACGATTCGCGCGGCGAATGCGACAGTTCTTTAAGAAATCTTTGTTAAGAGTAATCCAGTAACAACGAATGAAAGCTTAAATTTTTTTTTAAGGGAAATTTCTTGACAATATTAAGATATCGAAATATCGAAAATATCGTTGGCTGAAATTTTGCGTCGAATAAAATTTTTCAATCAACAACAGCGAATAATTCTAGGTTCGCGTGACAAAAAAATCAAAGGAATTTCAGTATCATATATGTTAGCTTCAGTTATGTATGAGAGTATGACTCAGCCTTTTTAACTAATAGGCTCAACTTTTTTAGTCTCAACTTTTTGCCTGGATAACGAACTATAGTAATATGGTTTCACGATATTCGAAGTTGTCCTACGGTAGTTAGTAAAATACATGTGATGATTAGATTAAACAGATCTTGATCTTAATGGCAAATTAGTGGATCAATAACATTTTTAGCGATGTTTTAAAGACGCGAAATTTAAATTTATTTGGCTTATATGAGTATGTACATATTAAAAATTACGAAGGAAAATATAACGATATCCAACTTTCCCACCCAATTACATTAAAGAAATAAAAAACCAATTTATATAAAATGTTCCCCCATTAAAAGAAAAAAAAATTAGGATCGTTCACCACGAAGTCGTCTAGCGAGTTGAATGTCTTTTGGTTGAATTGTAACACGCTTTGCATGAATGGCCGCTAAATTCGTATCTTCGAAAAGTGCTACCTAAATTTCCAAAATAAGATATTTTTATGATTATTAATTGATGTAATTTATGAATATTGTTAATACTTTTAAACTTACCACTTACCAAGTAGGCTTCGGAAGCTTCCTGGAGAGCTCCAATGGCCGAACTTTGGAAACGTAAATCAGTTTTGAAGTCTTGTGCGATTTCACGTACCAAGCGTTGGAATGGAAGTTTTCGAATCAACAGTTCAGTAGACTTTTGATAGCGTCTAATTTCTCTAAGAGCGACGGTTCCTGGTCTATAACGATGCGGCTAATAAAATAAAATACAGAAAATAAAGATCAAATGTAAATGGAGGTAAACTTAATGTCATGAAAAATAATTTATTCTACCTTCTTGACACCACCGGCAGCTGGAGCGCTTTTTCGTGCAGCTTTAGTAGCAAGTTGTTTGCGGGGAGCTTTTCCACCAGTTGATTTACGAGCAGTTTGCTTTGTTCTGGCCATTGTTATATTTTTATGTTTTTTTTAGAAGTTTATAATATTAAGAGAATGTTTGATAAAGGAGGGTGAAGTAGGTAAAAATTGTGAGGAAGTTAAAAATTTGCCCTTTATATAGCTTTTGTTTTTACGCGTCAACCTAAAATGATGTTTTGATGATACGCGCTAACGTGATAACGTGACATACGTGACATACGTGACCATTCAAAATAGTAAAGAAATTGTATGACCCTTTGTGTTTACAAAGAAAATTACCGTAAGAAAAATAACCAAATATAACTTAGATATGTAACACGACAACACGACACGGTTACACGTCGTAATCAGTATTATTGAGTAATTGTAACTAAATATGTATATGTTTATTACGGACGCGACAAAAATTTAATCACAGTACGTGTATCGTGATTCATCACCTGACATGCTAAATAATAAGACGCGATCAGATCAGGTATATATAAAGGGCCTTCCGCTTTTCTTAAAAAAAAATTTTCAAAAAAAAACTTTTATCTCCCTCGCCTTGAAATTAGGTTACTCCATATTTTTTTTTTATATCCCGTAAAAACAATACAATAAAAAATGACTGGACGTGGCAAAGGTGGAAAAGGTCTTGGAAAAGGAGGAGCAAAACGCCATCGCAAAATTCTTCGAGATAACATTCAAGTAAGAAATAATAATAGTAAAACTTCTTTTGTTCGTTTCGAATTTTTATTTATTTATTTCTTTTAAAAAATAAAAATAATTTCACAGGGTATTACTAAACCTGCTATCAGACGTCTCGCACGTAGAGGTGGTGTAAAACGTATTTCAGGTCTCATTTATGAAGAAACTCGTGGAGTACTCAAAGTTTTCCTTGAAAGCGTAATCCGAGATGCAGTAACCTACACAGAACATGCAAAACGCAAGACAGTAACGTCTCTAGACGTCGGTAAGTTTCATTTTCATTATAAAATTCATTCTCACATTCATTTGTATTCCGTTTATTGATAAAAAAAAAAATTTCTTTTTCAAGTCTACGCTCTTAAACGCCAAGGACGCACTCTCTACGGTTTTGGAGGTTAAACCGTTTCAACCTATTCAACCCTATCGGAAACAAGAAACGAACCTCGTTATTTCATATCATAAAAAATATTTTTTTCTTCTATAATGCTGTACTTTAATGTTATATATTAATAATAATTACAATAATTACTCAATAAAATTTAATAATTTTTAATCTTGCAATGATTTATTTTCTGATTATAAACATTTTTATGCATTTTTTCATATCCTGAAACTCGGTTTAAACTAACTAGCTGGTATATGTTTTTTAAAACTTTTTATTTGAAAACTTAAACAAATGTGGCACTTTGAACTTTTCAAAAATCAGAATTTACGAAGTTTTCCTAATACTTGAGAATCCACCTCACAAGTTGAAGTCTAACGGTTTTTCGCAACAAGACAGTAATATTTAAGTTCAGATTTCAGGTTTACTCTTGTAAACGATTTAAAGTGTAAGCTAACTTAAGTACCATATTTTTATATATTGACAAAAGATGAAAATAAAAAGTTTTGATTTTTATAATTTACATTTTACGCGTGAAAGCTAATTATTTAACTTATTACCGTTCAATTCAATAAAGTGAAATCGACAGGGAAAAATTACTGATCATAGAAGATGAACAATATGATAATATATCATTAGAAGAACTTGTTGAAGGTAATTATTAAGAATGTATTCTTTGTTTCATTTTTTTTTTCCAATAACTCTCTTTATTAGTGGTAACGCAACGCGATCACTCCTACACATATCGATGAATTTGACTTTTATATATAATTTTGTAATATCTTTTTTAACTAACGCTTTTAATTAGTTATTACATAATGAATCATACACTTTAATTTTGATTTCTTTGAAATCTCCTTTGACGTTAGTAATTTTTTTTTTATTTATCTATTTATACAGTATGCAAGCGCGAAAACTTATTTTCAACAAAAAGCAGATTTAAATAAGGTAAATACTGTTTTCTATTGGGTATTTGATATTCGAGATACTGAAACACTAACTGATGAATGGTTAAAAGTGAGTTTAATTTATCAAAATTGTTTTAAAACAATTTACATCTATACACGTTAACATTTTTTTAATTAATTTAAGTCAATAGTCAAAATTGCTACCTTAAAATATTTTTTAAAAGATTTGAGAATATGAAAGATTTATTTGTAATACAAAATGGCAAAGCCACATTGTTACATTATTTATATTAATTATCAATTAATTACATTTTCGGCATCAAATCATTTTAGTAAAACCTGAAAATTTTTTTTGTTACGCATCTATGATGTAAAAATTTTTCCATACATCCTATGCATCCTATGACAGTACATCAAATATATTTCTTCTCTGTACAAAATTATAATATGTAAAAACAAAATGTTAATAAATGAAGCATAAACGTTTATATTAAACCTGTTAATATTAACTAAATTGAACTAATGTTTAAAAACCCAATCACTTTTGATTACGTATTATTTTTTCTTGATCAAAAAAAAAAATCTTCTTCCCCCAATATACCGTATCGCACTGCACATAATACACCGGATATTATACAAATACCTGATTTAAAAATTATATAATACCCGTGGGTACTTTGTGAGATACCGGGTATTATATGAGGGGTACATAATAATTTTAACCAGAATTAAGCTAAAGTTACCAGAACTAAGAGGGGGTACTAATTGAGAGTAAAAATTTTATATCTAGTAAAATACTCGGGACTTATAACGTGGGGGTCTAACTTTGGGGATACTATAGGCAGTGCGGTACGGTAATTTTTCTTTGAATCCTTCTTCGCCTTACAATACGAGAAATATTAATTTCTAACATCAATGTTTTTTATTACAAACTTTCAGAAAATCTTAGGAATCATTGATGAGTACGACAATCATCCTAAATTATTTGTTTTTTTTTAGGGGAAAAAAACGAATTAATTGCTCATAATAAGACTCCTTTTCACGCTTGCACATACCTGTACAGATAATAAAAGATAAAATCCAAATTTAGTGAATTAAATCATATAATTTTTAATAACTGAAATCTATCAAAATGCAAGATTATTAGCAATGTTATTAAAATTCATTAAAAATAATTTTAAAGAAGATATTTAATTTTAAAAACACATAGTTATATCATCTGGGTATTCTATTTTATTTCGTATATTTTCACTTAGAATTACAAGTTATATTTGCAGAATACAGTTATTATCTAATAACTAAATATTGCTTCATCTATTTTATTTAAAATATCTATTCAGTTGAGGTCAGAAATCCATGAATATAAAACTTCTAATGAGGCTGTAAAATCAATTCTTAAAAGAGGGGTTTTCAAAGAAGTCAAAAATCAATTTATTAGATATTTGAAGGAATGAATCTATAATTTTTTTAGCAAAAATATTGGGTACTATCATATAATCCTTCCATTGTTACACTACTAGTAAACAACATCAAATGTATACAAAATTACATCATAAAATAATTAAAAACTTTATTCATTCATAAAGAAAATCAAGAATTTGTATAAAATATAAAATTGTATATTTAATGGATCTCATTAAATATAATATTTATATATTTTATTTATTTTATTTTAATTTTAAATAAAAAAAAATCATATATATATATAAGTATATTATTTTACACATAAAATTAAAATCCATATTGAGTCTTTAAAATTTCATTGAATTATTTATGTAAATTTACGTAAAATTTTCTATAAACTTACATAAAAACACCCCATAGCTGAGCTTTTTGTCACAGTTGCCATTACAAATACATAACTTTGAAGGTGTCATATGGTCAACTGGTAACATTTATAATATTAATAAGAATCAGAATAATATCCATATATTTTATACTGGCACTTATAAAGAAAATACAATGAAAAAAATACTAAGCTATTATAAATAAATTTCATCTGTTATAACACCATATAACTATTGAAAGGATGAAAATAACTAAATTTAAAATGTACTGTATCAAAATTCAAAATAAAGTAATATAAATAGAAGACAGATAAGTCTAGAATATTTATAGTATATTTTGCAATGTAAAAAGACTACCAAGCCATGCAAATTAAAATCAATAATACAAAAGTACTAGAAATTTGGGATTCAAAAATAAGATACTTCAAGACTAAATTTAAGGTTACATACAAAGAAGTAAAAGAAGGCCAATATGTGGATAAAAAGACTTAATATATAGATCTAGTAGCAATGTACAGCAGTAATTATATTGGTAAATATTAATATAAATTCACATTATTGTATATTATAATCAATGGTTGCTAAACTCGAACTGAGCCAGTTAACATGTGATGATTCCTCTCTCCTGTTGCATTAATAGTATATTAAAATTATTTGTGATTACAAATTATTAATAACCTTGTACCAACAATTTGTACTTAATATTGTGATTATAAAGGTGGATTTATTATTTAAAAAATTAGGACTGGTTAGTGGATACATGTGACTAAAGAGAAGAAAGTGACTTATTAATGACTCTTAAATCTTAATTTATTAAAAACAACATTGCTAAACACTTTATATATTAGGTGACACAATTTTTTTAATATATATTTATATTAACCATGGAATTCTTTTTCACAATTTTGAAAACATAAAAATGAATTCATATCCATGTAAGATATTTTAGTTGTAAAAATGTAATATTACTATAAAAGATACATTGTGAAACTTGATTGCAGGCCACTTCTTATCAAATCAGCTAATTTTTGGCATATCCTTAAATATGAAGATTCAAATTTTATTTTCCTAATTATTGAAGAACTCTAAAATGTTTTCTAGAAACTGTTTCAAACAACTCCTTAATAAAGTTTCTACTACTTTTAACCTTATCTTTGAATTTGTACCTATATCTATATGTCTTTTGTGCCTGAAAAATAGTCTGTCTATTTTGTCCTATAAGGTTTCTGATGATATTTTTGGCTTTTTTGAAGTTTTTTGCTAATAAAATATTTGTAAACAAAGTCTTCAAACTCGTCCTATTGTTGAAACAACTCCATTTTGTAAAAAATTTTGTATATTTTTATAATAAAAATGTAGCATTTTTTTTCCTACTTATAATAAAAACATTTTGTTATATTAAATTTTTTTATATAATTGTTTTGATTATATTCATATTGCCAATATTGTAACTGAATATTAATTTAATTGTATTTACTTTACTATGATTATAAAAAATATATATAAAAAAAATTCTTTGTTTCCAGTTAAAAAATTATAATGTTCTATTTCTACTTAAAAAAAATTTGTTTAAAAATTATAATATCATTATTCAAGCAAATATATATTCAATAAAAAAATTTTTTCATTAATGTATTCATAATTCATTTAATAATATAAATGCATCATTATGCCATATTTAGTATGTAAAATATTTTTTTTTCTTTTTTTTTTTTTTTGATAAATAGCCTGGTCGCATTTTCAAAATTAAAGTAACTTCTTGTTTATTGGTATCAGAGTTCTAGGAATGAAGAACTCCAAACAACAGTTTCAAATATAATTAAAGGAATAAATAAGGTGTTACAGTAACACTCCTATAGAAACCTAAAAAATTGAGATGATTTATTTTTCAATTTTTCATTGGTAATTTATGCAAAATAATTATAAATTTTTTTTTTTTAAAAAAAAAAAACTGTAACGCATTTCTTTATTTAGGATAGAATTTTTACATTGAAATACCTAGGAGCGCCCGTGCAAACACGAAACGCCTCTATAACAGAGTTCAATCTATCCTAAAAAAAAGCACAAACAAAAACAAAAACAAACAGAAAAAGAAAAAGTACCTCCTATACCTATCCTATATCTAAACGAAAAAAACTATCTACTAACACTAATAACTAATCTAAAACACGAAGACTAATGTCTATAGAAAACACTGACTAATCTAGAGAAACTACTATATATCCTAGCGCGTAGCTCGACCTTTTTCCACGTTTCGTCTCCATGCGCCAAATCAGTCAAAAACCTAGCCAACTTCCATAGAAAAAACCTATAAAATTTGCTTCTCAAAAATTTTATTCATACAAAGCATGAGACTTGAGAATAAGGTTCCTTCCCTTCTGGCACACAAATTATTATAAATTTTGAAGAATATAGTTTTCTTTCATCTAATAACTGAAACTTAAGTAATCATTAGAAAAAGTTTTTTTATTATTTTATTCTCATTATAAAAAAATATTAACTCTCTTTTACTTTAATTTAAAAATGTGTCAATACTTTAGCTTGAAAATAGAAAAGGTAAATAAGACAGCATTTTTATTTACCTTTATTGAAAATGTTATTAACCTATTTTTAGCAGCATTATTAAAACTTCTTAGTAAAATTCAAATGCTCTGTAATTAGGTATGATTGGAGAAGTCTTTATCTTCATAATGTTATCTATATTTCCTTCATTTACCATATTTACTAGACAAGGTTCATTTAACCAATCTTACAATATTATTATTATCTTTCTAGCATAAAGACAAAAAAAACTTATGTGCGAACTATAATCTATATCCACCTTGATTTTCATTAATTAAAAATATATTAATTAGAATTTTTATTCCAAACTAATTTATTTTTGATATATAATTTGGCAATGGTTTTTTTATTATAGGTTTATTTTTTTTTTGAAAATACAGAAAAAAATTATATGATCTACATTATCGAAATAATTTTACTTCGCATTTTTCATTTAACCATTTCGGGTTAGATTTATTTTTTATGATGATGATCAGCTGCTGCTTCGAATTTTCTTTGTTACAAAAATAGTAATTTTTGTAGTACAAATAGTAATACAAATAGTAATACAAATAATTAATACAAATGTGCGAAACTTCGTTCAATTTATAATTTTTTTCTTTGCCCATAATAATTTTGAAATTTATTTTGAGTAACATAGTTATTTATTTATATAACTAAAATTAAAATTATAATCCACAGCTCAATTAATATGGATGAAACCCCAAAAAATTTATGGAAGGGTTATGATGATAAATATCAGGTAATGGCAATTTAATATTTTTAATAATTAGAATTATTTTATTGAATTTTCGTAGTTAAAAATATTAATAACTTTTTGTCTATTAAAAGTTTCATGTTACAATTCCTATTATTGATTCAACTATTGAATCAAAAAATGTAGATGAAAGAGTAATTTATATAGGAGACGTAGAAAAAAGAAAACAAGCATATGGAATATGTGGAGAATGTAAAGAACCTGGCACAGGATACAATTGGTGTCAATCCTGTAATGCTAAAAGATTTAAAGATAACTTTAAAAATTGGACTAGTGGAAATAAAGATATTGATGAATTTATACAACAATCACAACTTAATGCTGTACATTATTTGAAATATCTTGAATGGATACCTTTTGAAAAATTTCATAATATCACTTATATTGCAGAAGGTGGTTTTAGTAAGATTTATTCAGCCGAATGGCCTGAAGGACATATTGATCATTGGGATATTGAAAATCAAATATGGTATAGATTTTCATATGATAAATATGCATTGAAAAGTTTGAATAATTCTTCTGATATATGTTCAGATTTTTTAAATGAGGTAATTTAAACTTACTTTGTCTTATATATAAAGTTTGTTATTTACATTTATTTATTAATAAAACTTTTCCTTTTTGATGATAATTAGATTAAATCTCATCTTCAGATTCATCTTATAGATATTGTTCAATGTTATGGAATTACTCAAGATCCAAAAAATAAAGAGTATATGATGGTTTTATATTATTGTAATGATGGAAATTTGAGAAATTATTTAAATGAATCTAAAAATTATATCAATTATAAATTAAAAATTGATCAATTACAACAAATTGCAAGAGGACTTTTAGATATTCATAATGCTGAAAAAGTTCACAAAGATTTTCATTCAGGCAATATATTATTTAATTATATGCCATATATAAGTGATTTAGGAATGTGTCAACCAGCAAATATAAAGCAAACAGTTAAAGAAGAAGGAATTTATGGAGTATTACCATATATGGCACCAGAAGTTTTACATGAACGACAATATACAAAAGCAGNTTTGGAATAATAATGAACGAATTTCTTTCTGAAGAAATTCCTTTTAATGATATTCCTCATGATGAATTTTTAGCTATTAAAATATGTAAAGGGTTTAGACCAACGATTTCTAAAGACATACCAAAGTTACTTGCAGATTTGATAATAAAATGTTGGGATGCTGAAATAAAAAATAGACCAACCACTAAAGAGTTGTATCAAACACTAAATAGATGGTATAATGGTACCGATAATCAAAATAGTGAAATTTATTTTCAAATAAAAGAATGTGATAAAACTAGAGAAGAAAAATTCAAAAACAAGTCAAATGAAAATAAATCCAAAAGCTTCAAAACGCATCCACAAGCAATTTATACTAGTAGACTTTTAAATTTCAAAAATCTTCCAAAACCAGTAAATTCTTCAAATTTATCATCTTTTCAATTTAGTTCAGGTAATTAAATTTAATTTGTTTTATCATATAATTCATTTTACATTAATGTTATTTTTATTTTTTAGTAGACCACTAGTTACACTGCTCAATCAACATCAGCAAATCCAAGTAAGTATTCCCTTATTATTATAATTATTTTATTTAAATTTATTAACGTTTAAATACTATAAATACATAATATACAGTTTCAGAATGCTTGGATGTTCAATTAAGTGAATTATTAGGTAAGTTATTATTATTTGTAATTTATTAATATTCTATATCTAATTTGTTTTTTTTTTTTATAGAACTAAATGAAATTTGCCAAGATGATGAACATAATATTGAATGAAGTTTCTTTTATGTGAAAGTTGAAATCAAATAGTTTAAATATCAATTCGTGTATTGAAGTTAGTTTACTTCTATTTTTCTTTCATTATCTGTTATACTTTAAAAGTTTTTATCTTAGTTTTTTATTTACATAGTATAGATTTATTGGATTTTATATTTAAGAATATTCTATGTAAATAAAGATTTTAACATTGGTTATATTATTTTATGCGTAATAAATAGTTTTGGTTGATTCGTCCTAAAGGGTTTAAATAATTGATGAATTTATTTTAATACATTTTTTATTTTTTATTATATTTAAAATTTTTAACGTCACTCATTGATGTTTTAAATAGTGAGTTTAACTTTAATAGTTAAATTTAAAAGAATAAAAAAGCAATTTTATACTAAATGTGATTCTTAATATAACTGACAACTGGTAGAAGCGAAGCAAATAAATAATAAGACGAGAAATTTTTCATGCAATATTACACACATTATAGTTTAATGGATTCAAATATTAAATAATTTCGTAATTAATTATTAGATATATAACTATTAAGTCGAATATTTTAATCAAATAACCGTAATACATTATCTAATTAGAAACCCAATCTAAAAGGAAGTGCTGATTTTACTGAATTTAAAAAATAATAATCAAAAAACTATTTTAAAACATAGCCTAGTATAAGTTAACTAAATTTTTTTTTTTTTCTCAAGATGAAAAGTGATTAATCAAATTATATAAGCTTTAATAAGCAATTATTTCTTCACTTTGATTTCAGAAATTAATCAAATTGATTTTTTATTTCGTAATATAAATCCTAATCTTTCATAATAGATTAAATATCAACTACCTCTATTCAAATCATTCCACCACATTTTGCTTTGCATTAAACATAATAATGTAGATGTCTAACTTTATTTTATTCATTCTCCTAAAAATAATTTTTTTTCGAACAGAGATAGTCTTTTAGAAAATGGATATTCTTTAATCTGTAAAATAACAAATAATATTACAGTCCCTAGCAAAAATAATGGCGGTGAGAATACCGCTAATTTGATTATAACTTCATTACTATCCCAATTAGAGCATTACTTTTTATACCAAATTAAACAGTGGAATGCTTATTTAAAAAGCAATGAAAAAAAGTAATTTCAAATACTCATATTATTTTTATTTTATTACCCAAAATAGCTCCTATTACAATTAAATTTATTTATGAGGTGTTAACTTTTTCTTGAAACAAATTTTTAGGAATTTTCTAATTGAATTAGAAATTATTTGGCATTTCTGTTAGCAATATATACCTCTCATAAAAAATGCCAAAATTTTAAATATGTTTTATTTTAAATGTCAATACTAAAGCTATTTCTTAAAAAATACTGCCAAAATCGAAATGATGGTCATTTTCATATTATTTTAGTTATTTTTATTTCGCACCCCTAGTGAAAACATAATAATATTATGAGGTATCAAAGTATTGAAGGTATGGAAAAGAGGTCATGTTTATGTAATATTCCCATTTACGTCACCTTATGTGGGATGATATTGTAGACCATTGGAGTTGGAGGATGTTGCACATGATAATGAGATGTCATGTGGTTTGTAGTTGCGATGATGAAGATCAAATTTATTGATCCCCAAAGCCTGAGCAGAACTATAAGTTTTTACTTTGGTGGAGTTGAAGCATTGAGAAATGTAATTCTCATGCGGGATGACATTATATTGGTTGGGGATGTTGCGCATAGTGAGATGTCATGTAGTTTGTAGTTGAAGAGCGATGATGAGGATCGAATTTATTGATTGAGCAGAACTATAAGTTTTGCTTCGATGGGGTTGAAGCATTGAAAAATGTAATTCTCATGAGATGTTATTATAAACCTCTGGAGTGTATGCTCTATCAGATTGGAGAATTTCATGTCCAAGTTTCTTGCATTGCCGATTAAAAGTCGCCTCTTTCTTTTTGGCTGTGGCATCTTCTCTCTTCTTTTTTGGGAGATGTTGCGAATAGTGAGATGTCATGTGGTTTGTAGTTGAAGTGCGATGAATGAGGATCGAATTTACTGATCCTATAAAGTGCGAGCAGAACTATATGTTTCTGCTCCGATGGGGCTAAAGCATTGATGTGGGATTCACTTTACACTTTCATATAAGTTACCATATTCATTATTAAAATTATTAAAGCTAAATATTGTATATTTTTTAATAATGATGGAATAAATATAGGTGAAATTAATGTAATAATAGGTTGTATTGTAACTTTTTTTAATGTTGCAGCTTTTTTTCTAATTATATTGTTTAACAATGTGTATTGTCCTTCTACATTATCAAAATGTAAACTCAAAGATGACTGCAAATTTTTTTGTGTTTCAATGAATGAAGCTAAACCTATAGTATCCTTATCACACTCATTTATCTCCAAGTTTGTTATATTTTGACAAATATTAGTAAACTTATGTCACAACATCAAAATTGAGTTCAAGGGAACGTAAGTTTGAAAAAATGATTTTATTGATATACAGTAATTTCTTCTTGGTATCCAATGGAAATACTTTGCATTATTATATATTAAAATTAATTTGTAAATTACTGGTTCTAATATTTGTTTTTTTGTATTTAGAATCCTTGACTTCATCATTTATTGATAGTTGTACCATATCTGTAAACCATAATGTTGTGAGTTGTATTTGAACGTTGGTCCTTTTGGAAATTTATTTAAAGGTATCAATATTATTTTGTGGCGAAGGATATTCTGAATTATTTGGTAAAAAGTGAGTAACAACATTATAGAATTTTTCACGTGATTCTTGTTTCGTAGTTGAAAGGATTTTCAACTTTTCAAAAATAATTCTAAAGTAAAGGTACAGCTATATGACATCAGCTTGAATTTCCTAAAGTACAGATGCAAAGAAGCAAGATCGGCATGTAATTCATTAAAGGTTAACAAGAGAACATCTCCTATAAGTTGTGTCATATTATATGAATGGAAAAAAAACTCTTCCTTCAAAAATTAAAAAACATAACAATTCCGCAGTAAAATTTTAATTTTATTTTACTCAGTTTTTTATTAAAATGGAAGATACAAGAAAAATACAAATAGCCGAAAATAAGTTTCCTATGCTTATTATGGGTGATGAAAATAGGTTTTTAAAAACTACATATTTCCAATATATACAATATTGTGAAAGTCTTAGTGCTTCATTTTTTAAGGGACGTTCAACAGAAGTTCAAAATAATATTTTAAAAGCAAATTTTGGATTAACAAATGAAGACATACTCAGTTGGGAGAATAGAGCCTCTCATTACCAAATGACTCCTCAAAGTTTCACATTTTTTTTACATGTTGCTATGTACTCTGCTTCTCATGGTTTTAACGCAGTATATGATGGGATACAACAGAGATATGCTGAAAGAAAGCAAATAATGAATGTTGTGAGAAAACATGAGGATAAGTCTAAAAAAAGAAAGGCTAAAAAGAATAAAAAGAAAAAACACCAAACTGTTGATTCTGATTCTGATCCATTAACAAATGATGAATCAGATGATTATATGCGAAATACTGTTGATGATGATGATCAAATAGGTGATGATCAAGATGTTAATATAAATCGGTCGATTGAGGATGCATCTGGATCTCAATCACATGTTGATCAACCTTTTGATATGGACGTCACACCAGTAGAACCAGTATCTAATCTGGATGTTACAATGCCTCAGCCGCAGCTATTACAACAACCAGATAATAATTTATCTAATTTGACAAAATCTTCGAATAAAAAAAAGAAGTCAAATAAAAATATAATTCAGCAAGTTATTACAGGTCATAAACCAGGTGATGATGGTACATCACAAGTCAGAGACATTTTGGTTTATGATATCCCAGTATCCTGGACGCCAGAAGAAATTCTGCAAAAGTTAACATTTTGGGGGAATACTATCTCATTACAAATGAAACAACAAAAGAAATACCAAACAGTTCGTTTGAAGATAGAATTAAATTCTTTGCGTCTTACTCAGTTCGAAGGTAATGATAATCCTGTTTGGACTACGGATTTAGGGGGGATACCGGTTTGATGGTTTCCAGCAAGGTGGATACTCAAAGAAAGAAAACAACGTGAGAAGTTCCAAGCTACGATTCGAAAAATTCCAGAATTGATGACGATAGCAGCCTTATGGAAAGACCATTGCCCACATTCATTCCTTTTTGCGATTAAGGGTTTGAAAAGCTTTAAAATTATACAGACTGCAA